GTGAGCAATTAATATTTCTCAACCCCTATATATAACTACCCCCTTGGGGCTATTCATAGGAGTAAATGTGGATTTGGGCCCCTAGCCTTGGACTTAGGAACCCCATTACAATAATAAGGCCTCTTTTGGGTACAATAAGGCCATTAATGGGCTCAGTACATAGTTTATTTGACTAAGTATGAAAAGTACATTTTATCCGGAGTAGTTGGGCGATGCGATACTTGGCCGATGCGGTCCCATGCCGATGCGCGACCTACTTCATTATGGGCCTCTGGGTCGTAGTTCGAATACTTCTGTGCCTGGCCGATGGGGTGCCATCTGGCCGACCCAGCGCCATGTCGTGATGGTCTTCTGCGGTCAATCTTCCGAGTATGTGAGCCATGGGTCTAGGCCCATATACTCCATCAGCCGGATATGAATATTTATGATCTGAAATTTTTAAGATCTCATCTGATCGATCTAATCTGATTTTTTTCCGAATAACATACAAATAATGACTATAATGATAACAATATTCATAATTAACTTCAATGGAAGCAACATACAATAATAACCTACAAAAAATATTTAGATCGAATTGAAATCATCATAATAGTAAAAATAATAAATTATGTCTGAACCTTTATGATTTGAATTTTTCTGATTTGATCTGAACTTTCGTGATTTAATGTAATCTAGATTGAATGTTTTGGGCTAATCTTATTTGACTTTTTATCTGACCTTGTCTGAATAAAATAAGAATAAGTAATATTATAAATATTAGAGAACTTAAAAAGTTATGAATTTTGATATATTTTTTGCATCATCCAATAAGAAGCTGACACGTCATTATTTTTAAAATAAAGATTACTATATAAAACAATAAATAGTTTATATATATTTATATATATATATAATATTGGTGTCATATGAAAGATCTCTAAAAGTTATGAATTTTGATATAATTTTTGTAAAAATTGGATTATAAATATAAAAATTATATCATTTTAAAAGAGAGATTTTTTCTCCTACTCTTGCTCTAAATCAACTGTAATGCATGTTTTTTAAGTGTGATAGACATTGAATTAATTAATTATTTTAATTGTAATCATAATTGAATTTGCATTATCCAATAAGAAGCTGACATATCATTATTGTTTAACTCAAGTTTATTATATAAAACTATAGATATACCACAAATGTTAGTCCAAGTGACTTTTAGCCATTCATTTGGTACAATATCATCAAGATCAGGCAGGAAAAAATATTTATGAGGTACAATAATCAAATGGAGAATTATATAGTCCATCAAACACTTGCAATTCTAAGGCTTTTCAAATTATTTGATTACTCATCATCCGTGTTGCCGTGTTTCATTGTTTTGGTTGGCATATTAATTGATATCTCATTAATTATTTGATATCTCATTAATTGCAACATTCGAATATATATACACTATTCATGTACTTTACTTTGACTACATTTTATTTATGAATGTATGTGAATTATTTTTTTTTTGAAAAATGTTGTTAAATTCGTCTCATTACTAAGTTTTATAATCTGTTTTTTATTTTATTTTTACTAATACAGAATTAAATATAATGACGGTCAAAGTTGTGCGTTGGCAAACGTGAAATGTTGACTGATGCAACTAAAAAGAGACGGAGGAAGTATTACTACCTTCGTCCCTTAAAATTTCCCAAAGTTGACCGGCACGGAGAATAATAAAGTAAAAACTGTGTGGTTGAGTTTTGTGCAGAGGAGAGGGAAATAACAGAAACCACAAAATAATTGATTAAAAGGGAAAGTGGCAAAAAATTTTGGAACGTCCCAAAAAGGAAAGATTGCAAAGTTTTAAGGGAAGGAGGGAGTATATGTTTACACGTACACTACAAGAAATGTTACATTTGGTGACACACATTTTTTATTGACACATAAAAGTGTCACAATAGCAATGTATATAATGACACTTTGTGTGACAAGAAAATATATTGGATTTTTTATTCAGTTCATATAATTGTTATCAATGCATAACAAAATCTAACTTTCATCACTAAACTAATTAAGTACTTCGTAGTTGTTTAGAAAACTATAAATTAGTTTTGCTGACACTTCAAAAAGTTAAGGAATGCTCAAATAGATTTATGGATCTGGGCCGTTAAACGAACATTTAAACATTTCAAAAACCAAAGTTCAATGGTCAGCCTATGAATCCGGCCTCTTCACGTAAGGTTGGCCGTCCTTCTACAAAACTGCTAATCTGCTCTAGCGGCACCATGGCACTCACAGACGAGAACACCCAGATTCCTCCATCCCCAATCGGAACTTAAGCGGATCCTCGTGGCATACCGTAATATTTCCTCATCTAATCCCTCTTCTCGATATCCATTAGATTAGTAATACTTTTCCTTTTTATGAATTGGTTAAATTTTATTGGATCTAATGGTCGCTGGAGTAATTTGTTCATTGCACAATATTATATTGATTATTTATTATTTGATCTATGTTTGCTGGAGTTAATATCACGTCACCTTATATTGATCCAACATGATGAAAAAGGCTTGCTACTTTTCATGGATTCCTACCCTAGTGTGTTATTTTAAACATTTTATACATAAATGATAAATTTGTAATAGAGATCCGTGAGTTAAGATCAATTATGTTGCCCTGCAATTTCTAGTTTTATAAATTTAAATTAACACAATCAAATCATATTTATGTTTTATGTCTATACTTTTACAGAGAAAGTTAGAAATGATCGATTTCTACATTATATACTCTGCTGAACTTATTGAGCTTGTTCTATCAATATTATTAACACTTCATAGTTTCTAAATTATGTTAAACTTTCAAAAAAGCAAAATTAAAACATTTCTATAATTACAAACGTGTTTGATCTCTGGGTGCTTAAAAATGTGATTTATAGATCCTAAAAAAGATTTGGTACCTCTCACTTTGAATTTTTCTTAATTAATAAACTAACTAATTTAAATTGCATACAACATCACCAATGTCTTTGTGAGCAGCCTTCATAATACTGAAGGTAATCATTCTTATATGAATATATCCACCTTTTCCCATATCCTTAAATTTTACATACTTAATATAACATCATATCACTTACACGTTTACTCAATGGTTCTTTATTTTTTAGTTTGAGTATACCATTAGAATCATGATGGATAGATCTTGGATGTATTCTGCTCCAAGATCAAGCGAACAGTTCATAAATGGAGTGGAGAGCTTTATCAAATTTGCTTTTGAGAGATCAAGTCAAGATGGAAAAATTGTATGCCCGTGTAGGAAGTGTTACAATATGTTCTATCATACTAGAGGGGGAGTATTTGATCATTTAATATGTAATGGATTCCGAAAAGAATACACAAAATGGGTAGATCATGGAGAACATCAAACGTCATCATTTTCAAGGTCTACGCCTAATAATGTAGCGGAGACTTTTAGGCTTGACACACAGAGACTATTAAATGATTTATTTCCACTGGCCAATGAAGAAGGATGTACACCTAATATGGAGGAGTGTGATGGGAGTACGGGTTTGGGTAACTTCAGTGATCCAGAGAGCTTCGAAAGTAGAGGTGACAAGTTTTTTGACCTCTTAAAGGAATCTGAAAGGAAGGTATATCCAAATTCAAAGTATAGCAAGCTTTCTTGTTTGGTACATTTGTTCCATTTAAAGTGCTTGAATGGTTGGAGCAACAAGTCATTCACTATGTTACTGGAGTTCTTACAAGATTTGTTGCCGGATCAAAATTTGTTGCCCAAAACAACATATCAAGTTAAAAAGCTACTTGGAGACCTAGGATTAGGCTACGAAAAGATCCACGCATGCCCAAATGATTGTATGTTGTTCTGGGATGATATGGAGAAAGAAAATGAATGTTCAATTTGTGGACAATCAAGATGGCGTGCTTCTACAGATAATACAAGTGAGATAGTAAACGCCCAAAATAAGAAGGCAGCAAAGATTTTGCGATGGTTTCCTTTGAAACCAAGGCTTCAAAGATTGTTTACGTCCTCAAAGACATCTAACCTTACCAAATGGCATCATAATGAACGCATAAATGATGGAAAATTGCGACATCCAGCTGATGGTGCAGCATGGAAGGATTTTAACAATAAATATCCCGAGTTTTCAAGTGATCCACGCAACGTTCGGTTAGCCCTTTCAAGTGATGGTTTTAATCCTTTCAAGACAATGAATCTTAAATACAGTATTTGGCCAGTTTTTTCACATGGGAAACAGTGTTGATCATAGTTTACATACATCAAATGATGCAATATTTGATGTACCAAACTTGCACAGAGTTGGAGTTGATGATGATAATGGAGTTGATGTCACTCCAATGATGGAACAAGAAGTTATGCATGACTAAGATGATGAAGATGATGAAGCTAGCATTGTTGTTACTTAAATAGATATAGTTCTTATTAATTAAGTTTATGTTGTTATGTACTAGATGTTTACTGAGAGTGCTTTAACAACTATCTAATTCATAATATTTTCTCCTACTAAAACAATCGTTTCACATATTGTGTGTTTTTTATACCCATATATTTTTTGCAGATTTACAATTGAATAACCCTTTGGCACAAAGTGGGTTTATTACAGCTTTATATTATACTTATAATATCTTATGTTTTGCAGGTTTGGATTGAAGAAGCTTTATCCATTCCTTACATTGAGGTTTGTTTAACACATAACTTTTTTATTGGTTCTTTAAATGTTTTAAAACTAATTTTAGTATTCTGTTGAAGTAACAATGACAAAGCGCAAGAGGTTGAACATTGTCTCAACCAATAACTCCTCAACAATTCAACAAGATATTGAAGCAGAATCTTCATATCCTCAACCATCTATTTCAGCCAATACAAGCAGTTCACAAGCATCAGGTGATTAGTATATTTTAATTTATTTGAAGTAGAATATGCTATTAACATGCGATTTGGTGTTTATGGCCTATAACAGGCGTTTCAAAAAAGGTTCGAGGTCCTACGAAAAAGCTTAGCATTTGGGAGCTAAAAAGTGACACCAGGATAGCAGTTACTTTTAATGAGATGGTGCAGCCAATAGGAGAAGAAGGAAAAGAATTGACACAATTCTTAGGCACCCTTGTAAAAATGCCAAGTCATGTTGGAATAAATTTTGATGATTGGAGAGATGTTGCGCATACAACTAAGGAAACATTATGGAGTATCGTGAAGGTATCTGACATGATTTTCTAATATATACATACATATATACATACATATATATATATATATATATATATACCTAAACCGGTTCTAATCTCGTGTTGATATTTGTAGGAAAAATTCAAATTTCTACCGGCTGAAACTCCAGATGTGAAGAAATGGGTGATTGCAAATATGGGATCAAAGTGGAAGTCTTGGAAAAATACCTTGAGATCAAAAAATTATGATCCAGCCCTAACTATTGATGAAATGGTACAAAATGAGAAAGATATGAGGGTAAATAAATCTCAATTCACAGAACTTGTTAAGACTTGGATGAATCCAGAGTTTCAGGTGATTTATTGTTGGCTTCCTTATATTGTTGATATGATGGAATAAAAAGCTTATTAATTACTTTTATCTATTGTTTTGATGACATTTTTATTTTTATTTGTTTTATTTGAATCTATAAGGCAATGTCTGAATTAAAGAAAGGGAGTCGGTCAAAGAATCAAGAGCCACACACTACTGGCTCAAAGTCCTTTGCTAGACTTGCTGAAGAAGAGGTAATTGCAGCTAACTTTTTAAAGTAATTTGAGGTGTTTAATTATCGATTTTCTCAAATATGTAATTACATCCTTCAAACTCATATTTTATTGTTTAAAGAAGCAGTGCTATATTTAGGTACACTGAGGGTCATTTATATTTAAATTTAATCGTTGCAGGCTATAAAAAATAATGGTGTCCTCCCAACACGCGGGAAATTATTTATTAAAAGTCGAACTCGAAAAGATGACACTATTGTCAATTCTACAGCAACTAGAGTTGTGGTACTATACTTTAATCATTTAATTACTCATTTTCCTTGGGTGGACTGTTTGTTTATATCTATTTTTTAACAGTTTAAACTTTGTTTAAATCTTGCATATATTATGTCTTGATAAACTTTTTTTACTCAGTTGCCTAGAACATCATATTGACTATGAAGTTTAAGGTCCTTTTCTAGGGGCAAAAGAAACTTATGTAGAAGAAATAAATAATTTATATGAATTACACAATTCTTATGTTACATGAAATATAGTTCTCTTTCGATGTGTTTGTCAGTAAATGAACTAGAACCCTTTTATTTCGGATTTGAACAATTTAATGCCTCAATTGTATTAGCACTCACACCATGTTTCAAAAACATGATTATTAATTATTATATGAATCTTAAATTAGCTACTCTCTTCAGGAAGCTCTTCATCATGTGATGAATGAGGCTGTGGACACTCAAGATTCTGAGGACACTACTGATTGGAGAAATGATGACTTAGCCAAGGTTAAGGGACCTGAAAAAAGAGGGCGCATTCGTTGTGTAGGATTTACAATCGTAAAGGATAAACAAACTTCATCCTCTCAACAATCGCAAATTCCTATTCAAGACCCACAAGTGCCTATCCTTCAAGCGCAAGTTTCTTCACTTTCCAGAAAGGTTGATATTCTGCTGGGTGCTTTCAAACATAACATGACTTCTGGCCAATTTAGCGCAATTCTCAACAGCTTGAGTAATGAGGTAATATTTGCCATTACAGAATTAAATTTATAAAATTAGACTACAATTTGTGCTCATTTTTGATGGATTATGCTTGAATCGGACATCATGGCTATATTTTATTTCTTCTTGTACAGTTATGTGTGTGATATGAAGAGATTAGTTTTCTGCGTGACACATTTCAACTCTTGTTAAATCACATTAACTGGTAGTTTAATTTGATCAAATTATACTTTCTTTTTTGTCATTCTTTTTGCGAAGAAGCTGGAAAAAACTGCATTTTGGCTCTCTAATCAATTTCTAGTGTATTTTCTTGGCTAGTAGCTTGAAATATGCAGCCCTGAGTTTTTAATTATCTATACCATTTACCTCTAAACTAGTTATATATGCAATTATTAGTACAAACTTATGATACTACTCCTCGTTAGTAGCTTGTAATATGCAGCCCTGATTATTGGAGTATTTATTTGTACCAGAATTTTGTTTTTTTTAATTTCTACTCCTGATTAAACTATGTTATTTTTCAGGTTGTTAATGGACCAACACCTACTAATGAGCCATCATCAACTGGAAGTCATCATACTTAAGAAGTTATTTGGAGATCAAGCTTATACACATATAGTTGTTTTTATGGGCAATTTCAATTTGCATCATTGTGAGCTTTAAGTTTTTTTTTGGACTTCTATGGTGTAAGTTTGAGTATGAAAGGAGTGTCTAGTTTCTGGAAATAACTTTAGTTCTATGGTACACGTAAGTTCTAACTTTTCTTGGTTTGAATTGTAAACTTTACTTCATTGAAGTTTTTCAATTATTTTAAAGTCGTGTGCAAATTTCTCTATGAAAGTAATATTTAGTATCCCACATTTTTATTACTAATATAAGCATGCTATAGAAAAGTTAATTAAAATAAAATTATTATGGCTTCAAATAAATCAACATGGTTTTTCTTGACAGTTATGTGTTATCTTTAATCTTTCATGACACATAAAATTTGTTTGGTAATTAAGCAATTCCATGACACATTATGTGTTGGCGAAAGTTTAAAGAGATTTGCCAACACATGCCTATGAGTGTCAAGAAAGATTTTTCCTTACACCATTCCTAGTGACACTTTGTATGTGTGTTGGAAAAGCCTATAGGCATCTATCTTGACACTTTTATTATTTTTCTTGACATTTTGTGTGTGTCAAGAAAGGTCACTTTCCTTGTAGTGGTACTTGAATACGAAGCTACATGAAAGTTTTATTTTGGGATTCTCAAATGTTTTTACACCTGTTTTGGGGATTTTCCCTTTCCTTTTTTTTTATTTATAAGCTTAATTAACCAACCTACAATTCTTGCTTATGTCTAGGGGTGGGAAAATATACCGAAATTTCAGTATACCGGTCATACCATACCGAAAAATACCGAATTTACCGAAATTTTCGGTATACCAAAAAGTTCGGTACGGTATGATACCATACCGGGTCACTTCGGTACGGTAAAGGTATGAATTTTTTAAATTTTCGGTATTTCGGTATATACCGAAATACCGTTAATTTCGGTATGGTACAGTATATACCGAAATACCGATATACCGAAATAAAATTTGTAAATTTTTAGGGCCATACCCATTAAATGAAATTATTAAAATACCAAGGCCCAAAATTAAAATAACCCATCTTATAATACTACAACCCTTCTCTAGTTCTCCCAATTAGAGGCCTAAATCCCTAATCAAATAAATGGGAGAATATGAGTTTGCACCCCATGTTTTGGGTGATATATTTATAAACAAATGATAAAGTATATTGATAAAATATTTATACGGCGGACGACCATCATATTACCAAGGTAGAAAAATCTCTTATTTATACGGAGCTGCAACAATGATTCAAAGATTTGTTATTACAAACATTAGTTATCATTGATTTATGTTGGATAAATATTCTAATTTTCATTATGGATTGTGTTGAGACTAGAGATATTAGCACATAATTTTAGTATTTTCTACTTTGGATTAAATATTGTGTTTTAGTTTTGGTATCGGTTTATGTATTGATGTCGTATGCTACTTTTGACTTGTTAAAATCAGTTTTTTTGGATGTTCGGTAGGCTCCTTAAGCTAATACTTTATACGGAATTGCCAAGAAATTTATTTTTTTGAATTTTCGGTATAAAACGGTATGAGTTACATACCGTACCGAATTTTCGGTATACCGAAATTCGGTATACCGAAAGTTTCGGTATGGTAACGATATGACATTTACCGATACCGGATTTTCGGTACGGTATGCGGTATGGCGTTGAAATTTCGGTATACCGTACCGAACCAGCCCTACTTATGTCCTCCTATACTGCTCATTCTTCATTTCCGTACAGTTGTTTCCAGTCATCACAACTTTTTAGTGATGAAGCATGCCTTGATGGAAATGTTATATGTGAACCTGTGAACAAATTAAATGATAACCAAGCATTCCGACCCAACTGGTTGTGAGGTTACCGTGCCTAGAGGGAGATCTCAAGTTCGAATCTCGCTAGGCACACAAGGGTTTGAAACTGAATGGAGTGTGTTTCAGCTCTGATTACTCCAGGCCCCCCAGACCCCCTGGAGTAAAAAAAATGATATCTTTGGACAAATATTCTTGGACTGTCTTCTGACTTATGTGATAATATTACAAAAATTTCTCTACATGTATTCAATTACATGATACATTTAAATTTTAATGCATTCGAGGCTGACCTATTATTCAAATAATTATGTGGAATGCATTTCTTAAGTCGTTCTATTTCTTTAAAAGCAAATTAGCATCCCCAACTCTTTAACATGATTCTTATATAAGACATGGTCATTTTTTCAAGTTAGTAATTGGTAATTGTTGAAATATGGACTAATGCTGATACACAATTGTTTATCTAGAAGAAGACGTACAACTGCATTATTCCTTTATTGGTTATATTTATATGTATTTACTAGCTTTGTTTTGACATTTTGCACTGTTTTAGTGATGCAAGAGGGTCACCCATGTTGGGGTGTTTGGATCTGTTTCTTTTGAAGCCAACAAGGTACCTTTGTTTCTCTAGGTGTTCCTAATAAGCTAAAACTTGTCTGGTTAATGGGATTCATCTTTTGCTTTTGCAAATAATGTATAGAAGTCAAGCTACATATAAATGGTGAAGCTACAGATAACAGCAACTCACACAATACACCACTGGCCTTATTTTGTATCCATGAAGGCTAAAAGTTACAATCTGGATTCAAATTTTCATGATATGAGCTACATCATAAGATGAAGGGACATATTAGAACATGTGGAAATGATCTGCAGTTTCGAACTTTCACTGAGATATGCTTATATTTTCATTGCTGGCTAACCTTATTCTGTCAACCCAAAACTTACCTAGCCACCTGCTTACCCTCCTTCCTCTCTGTATGGCAGAACCCGATCCTTAATCGGTCATACCATGGTTTTGAAAGGTTGAAGCTGGCCTCTCTCTCACGATTCTAACAGCTTGGTTGGAAATATACAATTTCACCCTTTTAGATCCTTAATTGGTCATACCATGGTTATGAAGATTTTTAAACATCTTTGAACTTTATTGAAATTTCTCTGGCGATCATCTCCTACCCACTGTTATTTAGTCTCATACGCCACACTCTTTCTACAGCATTGAAACACGAAAGATGCTTATCAGGGATAAATATACCTTTTGCTCGAAGCGCATGTTTTTTTATTTGCACTATTTAAAGGTTGTATTCCATTTGCAATTTAAAAACTAAAAACCTTTTATTCATAGATTCATTCTTTTTCCTTGGCTACTTCATTTTTTATACTCCATGCCATTATTTATCTAAACCATGAGGTTCAAAATTCAAAGTACTCATTTGTTTTGTATTTAGGCTTATGTTGCTATATTGCTCTTGTTCGCCACTAATTCCTTCTATTTCTTTCTTACATATACTTTATTTCATGCATCGTGTTCTGTTTAGGTTGTATTTATCTTTCTTTCTTCTATTGCTCTTGTTAACTATGATTATATAGGGTTCCAAGGAGAGAAAGTCTTCCTGCACGATATGCTGTAGATACTAACACTAGACTGAGTAGGCTTGCATGTTACGCTAAGCGTAGAGTAGCATGTGTTACTAGACTACTTGTTGAAGCTGACATATTTCTTTAAATATTTTGGCAGTGCTGCTCATTGTGGGAGCAGCATGTTCAATTAGCAAAAACTACAGAATTTGGCAACCAGAGATTAAACATGGTTATCCAAAAGAAACGTCTCGACATACGAATGACGAGTTGATGACATGTCTCGTTAGACAGATGACGGGTTGATAAATGCAATAATCAAGTATGACAACAATATACTCTTTCAAGATTTCGACAAGTTACTGCTTAACGGGTTGAAGTTTGCACCAATACGCATTAACTTCTCGAAAGGGGGCAATTGTTGGGCCAGGATTAATCCAACCCCTAGCAATTAAAGTGAGATGTTGGGCCAGAGATAATTGGGCCGGACGAATTGATTAAATAGGAAGTCCAAAGCAAGAGGCGGTCAAACGAATCGGATAAGAATAGACTTGGTGGGAGCATCCAACTGAATGATGAAGCTTAGAAATCAGGAAGCATTTCCGGCAGGCATTTGAACCACATAAGTAGAATAGTATTGTTGTATAAATATAGTAGAACTCACAATAGAAAGCCACGATCAATCCCACTTGATTATCTATGCACTTATAATATCACTCTCTTATTCATCCACTGAGATTAATATATTTAATTCATTAATCATTAGTTTTTACCTTTTGTTTCTTGTACGATCCATGTATACATATAATTCTAGATTAGTTTAATTCTTGCTTAAACAATTTGGCGCCCACCGTGGGGCATCGTGCAAGAAAAAGATCGATCATGGTTGGAACAAATCAATTGTTGATTGACTTTCATAAACAGCTACAAACGGCAAAAGAGGAAATCCGAAGTGAGATGGCGGAACAAACGACCCACATTCAACGGGAGAATGACGTTCTTCGTTCACAGGTGCAATCAGTGGTGTCGATAGCTTCAAACTCCATGATTAACCGGAGGAGAGACGCCAAGACTATCGCCACAAAACTGGATCTTGGTTTCACCCCGGCGGTGACGGATCTGCCTGCAACGATGGCGGATCACGTCTCCCTCACACTAGGCCTGTCGCCAACCGGAGAACCTCAATCAACGGTCATCTCACAGGTCATCCCTTATACACATCTCGTCTCTGAGACAACTCCCACTCCCAGCATACCAACTAGCTTTTTTCCGGAGTCCCTTCGACCCGGGCCGAGGACGATGGGCCTGCACTCGGCCACTCAATGCTTACCGATGTCTTCTGTTGTGTCGTCCCCAACGGAACCCTTCATTCCTCACTACAGAGACAGGACCTTTGTAGGTCTAGGCCCGTGCGGTTTCACGCAGAACTCCAGACGGAACATCCTTGACGAGCTGCTACCTGAACCACATACACAACGTCCACATAGGCCCGTCACTTCGATGGATCCAAACGTGTTATGAAGATTCACCTTTTGACGGTTCGATCATGCGTGTCGAACTGCCAAATAAATTTGATGTACCAACCATGGAGCCATTTGATGGAACCACGGACCCTGGAGAACATGTCGCGCGATATAAGCAAGTGATGTTGACTGTCTCCGTTACACATGAGCAGAAAGAGGCATGTATGTGTCCTATATTTGGCATGACATTGACCGGTCCTGCTTTGACATGGTTCATCAA